GGTTTGGAAAAGGGGGTTTGACATTCCCTGTGCTGCCCCTTCCCAAACCGGGGACCCCGGGCAGGGCTGGAGCAGGGGAAGAAGGATGTGCCACTCCAGAAGTCGGTACCAGGCTGGGTCCCCAAAGGAATTTGTGGGACACACACCTCTCTGGTGGTGGGTGAGATACAGGGAATGAATGAGGTGGCGCTGTGCCCCCCCAGACGGAGGGGTCCCGCACCGCAGAGCCCCCTCCCCAAGCGGGATGGCGGCTCCTGGCCGGGGTGCGGACTCCCCTGAGCCGAGTCAGCCCCGGGGGGGGACACCCCGTGCAGAACTGGGTGGGTCAGCTGGTCCGCAGGGTGGGGACACACACACAGCCGGCCCCGGCGCGGAAGGGGGATGCGGATGGAGGGGGGGCTCTCACCTCGAACATGAGGGCGATGAGGACGCTGAGCACCAGGCAGAAGCCGATGTCGGCGTGGTTGTGGATGAGGAACTCCTGGCTGAAGAGCGGGTGGCTCTTGGCCCGCCGGCGGAAGGCCATGGCCGGGGCCGAGCCGAGCCGAGCCCAAACTTCCCCGGGCCCCGCGGAACTTCGCGGAGCTCCGCGACGGCCCCGCGCAGGCGCCGCCGCTGAGCCCTCCCCGCGCCCGCCCGGCCCCGCACGGCCCCGGCCCCGACCCCGCCCCGGCACGGCACGGACCCGGCACAGCCCCGGGCACGGCACGGACCCGGCACAGCCCCGGGCACGGCACGGACCCGGCACAGCCCCGGCACGGCACGGACCCGGCACAGCCCCGGGCACGGCACGGATCCGGCACAGCCCCGGGCACGGCACGGATCCGGCACAGCCCCGGGCACGGCCCCGGCACAGCCCCGGGTACGGCACGGATCCGGCACAGCCCCGGGCACGGCCCCGGACCCGCCCCGGCACGGCACGGATCCGGCACAGCCCCGGGTACGGCACGGATCCGGCACAGCACCGGCTACGGCACCGACCCTGCCCCGGCACGGCCCCGACCCGGGTACGGACCTGGACCCGGCACGGATGCGGCACAGACCGGGACACGGCACCGACCCCGCCCCGGACCCGCAGCCGGGTACGGACCCGCTACAGCCCCGGGCACAGCACTGGCATAGCATCGGTACCGGAACCGGCACAGCCCCGGACTCGGACCAGGGCACGGACCCGGACACGGAGCCAGACACGGACACGGACCCAGCCCCGGCACTGGCACCGGATCCGGGCAAGGACCCAGACCCCGACCCCGCCCTGGACCCAGCCCTAATCCCGGATCCAGACACGGGCACGGACCCGGCACCGCACCTGGGCATGGATCTGAATGCAGACCCAGCCCCTGCCCCGGCTCGGCACAGCCCTTGACCCGGACCTGAATACGGACATAGACTCGGGCCTGGAACCGGCACTGGAGCGAGAGCCTGGACCCGGACCCGAATCCAGACTCGACACTGCACTGGCACTGGCACTGGCACTGGCACAGCACCGGTACAGGCCCTAGCCCCGGTCCCCGGCTGCCCTATGCACACCCTGGCTCTCAACAGGGGACAGAAGCACCCACTGGCCTCAGCACCCACCTCTCATCCTCACACAGCCTCATCTGCACCCACCTACCGTGCACATCTGGACACCCACACCAGAACTCACCTACTGTGCATGTCTGGATGTGCACCCACAGCTGCACCCACCTACTGTTTATGTCCAGACACCCTCCCATAGCTGCACCCACCTACTGTGCACATCTGGGCCCTCACCCACACCCCCCTCTCTGTGCACGCCCAGCCACCAACCTGTGTCCCAGCACCCACCCCCCCCATTTACCCACCAGCTCTGCACCCCACAGCCTCAGCACTGAACCCCAAATCTCCCTCCCTATTAACTAAGGAGAGGCCTGAGGCATGTGGTGCCTTCCCTACCCCATGCCCTTAGCAAACTCACACCCTGGCTCGGGCTGGGGTGTAGCAGCACAGATGGAGAAAATCCAGATGGGTCTCCAGGGCAGAGCAGTGGAATATTCGCTGCTATTTATTGAAGCCAATCTCTAAAATACCCCCCAGCTCCTCATGGAGCTTAGGGGACCAGGCAGGGCCCTTCAGTGGCTTTGCTTAGGAAAATTAAGGCACAAACAGGTCTTTCATTTTAAGGATCTCCCTTCAAGCAAAAGAATCACTGTATCCTTTTGCTTCCAGGATCTTGTTCAGCTCCTCCAACACCCCTGGGTCCCCATGGATCCCTCACAGATCCTCCCTGTGGCCATTGAGGATGGATTCACAGGAGGGAGAAAACGCTCCTGCAGCACGTTGGAGGGAACTGAGCTGTCTCAAACCTGGTGTTGAGACCACAAAGCATTTTCCTCCAGCCAAATCCAGCCCGGGAAGCACAGTCCCTGGCTCCTCATTAGGCACTCAGTCCTATTAGGCAAGTCCTGATTAGCTGGGTTTACCCTCCACTCCCCCCCTCTGTGGTATTGTTTAGCCTTGGAGCCACTGGCACAAAGCTGCAGCCTGGGCCCTGTTCCTTTACAGGAACACTAAAGGCACCAAAAAGGGGTTTGCAGCAAACCAAATTTAATTAAGGGGGGGAAAAATATCCAAAGTTTCAGCTTGGAAAAAAAACAAATAACAACAACCCCCAGGGCAAAGAATTCTATTGTCTGTAATGTCCAAGTATTGTGTTTCAATGTTGTTGGAACTGAAAAGATGTTTTTTCTGGGTAAATCTTTCCTTAGTTAGTTCAGGGGCGGGGTTACATCATCTTGGAGCTGGAGGGAATGTTTTTTCTCCCACCCCAAAACCTGTGCTCAGAAATCCAGGCCAAGAGGGAGGTGGAAAACAGTGCTGCTGGAAGGTGAGATCTCAGCAGGGCTAGGGCAGGGCTGCTGCCAGCCTCGTGCCCTGTCTGTACCTTTCCATCCTGCTTTGTTTTATTTTACCTTGACAGAGGGACAAGGGTGACCTGTTAAAAACAAGCCAAGGGGATGGTGCCAGCAGCCACGTCCCCAAGCCCAGACTCACCTGGGTATTGTGTAATTTCTGAGGGACGTAGCCTCTGTTCCTGCCTTTTTCCAGATCGCTGGTGAGTGGCATGGCCAGTTCTCCTGGGGAACCTGCAGGTCACTCCCTTCATTGTCAAAATTCACTCTTGGTTCCTGCTCCCTGCTCCTGTGTTGCCCGTGAGACCTTCTCTCACGAGTGGCACTGAGCTCTCCTGGGCTGGGGCATGACCCTTCGCCTCTAAAGTGCTGGAGAGGGTTTCTTTAAAAAAAAAAAAAAAGGAAAAAAAGAGGTTATAGGAAGCAAATGAGCTGAAATTTTCTATTCCAGAGCAGGGAAAAGCACTGGATAATCTGTCTGAGTGCAGTGGGATGGAAATATCCCCTCACTCCAGCCCTTCTGTGAGTGGCTGAAGCCCAAAAGTTGGTGGTGTGCATCCCAAAAGGCTGGGCAGATCCCAGTCTAGCTCAGCATAACATGCCTCATGCAAAAAGAGCTTCATGGGAAATGCTGTAGAAGGAGCAGAGGGTCTGACTGGGTCTCCTCAAGCATTTGGGGCACTTTGAGATTTCATCAACTGGTTCCCCTCTGCCCCTCTGCCAGCTGCACTTTCTCATCCTGGGTTTGGACTGGCCCAGGGCCGTGTTGCTCCACACAGAGCAGTGACATGGGATTTGGGGGATCTCTGCACCCCGTGGGTTGATGTGAAGACAGACCAGATTGGGGAGTGACCCTGTCACCCCCCAGGCACATATCCACAGCTCCAGGGATATACCACCAAAATCAGGACTCAGCACCATGGTGCTGACAGCTGGAGCTGGTTCTACCAAACCAACAGGTTCCCATCCTGCATTCAGTGTGGTCAGTGGCACCTCCCCTTGCACACACACCTTTGGATCTGAAGTCACCGTGGGATATTTGCAGATATCTGGATGACTTTCCAGCCCTGAATTCTTGGCGAGACTCTGGCAGGGGTTTCCAAACTTTCCCCATGGCCCACTGATGCCTGGGGAGGTAGAAGAAGACTCCCACAGCCATGGTCTCATTCCTCCAGGCACTTGCTGTGCACTGTATCTGCCACCTCCACTATCCCACAGCTCCCTATTTCATTCTCACCAGCTCCCATCTGCGATGCCGCAGCAGCCTCAGTCCCTCTCCCCTCCAGTCCCCATCCTTGCAGGGATTTAAAAGCCATGTGGATGTGGCACTTGGGCACGTATTTTAGTGATGGCCTTGAGTGTGCTGGGGGAACGGTTGGACTCCACGATCTTAGAGGACTTTCCCAACCTGGATGGTTCTGCAATTCCTGTAACAGGCACTGGATGTGCACGCAGCCTCTGGACCTTGAGCAGCATCTCCCTCTGGTGGCAAATGAACGAGGTTTTGAGAGAAACACCTCCCCAGCGTTTCTCCCCTCTGGCACCATTGGGAAAAATCTGCATGTGCACCAGGTCATTTGGGTATCTTCAGTTCTGCCCCCCCCAAAAGATGGGAAGGGTGGGGAGGGGCACCCGGAGGTGTGATTTGCTGCTGGAGTCCTCCTACTTCAAACAGAGCTTTAAAATTCACTGAAGAGGTTTAGATTGGATATTAGAAAGAAATTCTTCCCTGTGAGGGTGGTGAGACCCTGGCACAGGTTGTCCAGAGAAGCTGAGGCTGCCCCATCCCTGAAAGTGTCCAAGGCCCTAGATGGGGCTTGGAGCAAATTGGGATAGTGGAAGGTGTCCCTGGCCATGGCAGGGGATTGGAACTAGATGGTCTTTAAGATCCCTTCCAACCCAAACCATTCTGTGATTCTGTGATTAAATACAGGTTATTTCTGTAGGTGGAGACCTGTGGCTCACTGCTGGGACTGTCCCCAGCATGCAGGACTTGGGCCCTGGGTGTAACAGGGCTCTCACACAGGCTGGAAGGCTTTAAGGACAGACAATCCATATTATTTGCCCTGATTTCATATTGCTTATGTGCACCCCCAACATGAGACACAGACACAGCAAAGGCTGGTGTGGGTTTTTTAAGCATAATTATATATTATCAAAGGTAGAAAAACAAACTAGATAAAAATTCTTGTAATGCTCCAGCAGCACTTCTGCCTTCTGTGTGATGCACACAGTGAGGAGGACTCTGGAAAAGCCACTGGAACTGATTTGTCGCTGCAGAGCACAGCCACAGCATGGAGGGCTGGGATCTGGATGGGGACAGAGAGCCTTCATCCCACTGGAATGTGGCTTCGCTCCATAACCAGCACCAACTGGGTTTTCAGTGCCCAGGAGAACCATCTGGCTGGGTCAGCTCTGAGCAGTGAATGCATTATGGAAGCTTTTTTTAATAATTCATTGCATGCCTGTGTCCTTTCCTGCCCTGTGGCACCACCATAGTCCTGCCCACAGCGGGACAACAGCTGGAGGACGTGGCCAGATGTGCCTCAGCTGGCACCCCTGAGCTTGCTGGTGAATCCAGCTGACCACACCTCAATTAACACATCCAGCCATGTCCTGGGCACAAACCCATGTCCTGGGCACAAACCTATGCCCAGCCAGCCTGCTGGGAAGCACTGGCTATTCCTGAGGCCACACATTTAGTTCCTGATATATTTAAACCCTGTCTGCACTGGGGATTTGATGGTGGCAGGACTCTGTAGATCTGAGATTTGGCCTGAGGCTAAATTTAGGAGGCAGCATCCAGGCAGATGTGGATTATAGCCTGGTAAGCTGTTCTAGTGGAAGATGTCCCTGCCCATGGCAAGAGGTTGGACCTAGAAGAGCTTTAAGGTCCCTTCCAACCCAAAGCATTCTGTGATTCTATGATCTGGAAGCTGGGTGGAAGGGGGCAAGGAGGAGACTGGGCAGAAAAGGCCACCTGAGGAAGTGGGACAGTGGACAAGCAGCAGGACATGGCTCTTGGCTATAATTCAGAGTCCTGAGGTTGTGGTCTACAGCATGAAGAGGATCTGTGACCCCGAAAAATGGAGTTGGTAAAGGTCTCAAGATGAACTTGGTGGGGGAAAGATAAACCAAGCACTGCTGAGCCTTACTTGAGGGCTTACTCTGCTCTGAAGGAAGGACATAAAACTCATAATTTTTCTGGTTTAGGCACTTATTTGTCCTGAGAAAACACCTGCTTTGGCCAAGACTGCAGCCTGGAGACAGCAGCCAGGTCTCCAGACTGGGACAGGCCAGCAGCTTGTACAGGCACTTGGTAAAGGACACAGTTCAAGTCATTGTCACAAATATACCAAAGGCAGCACACTCTGGCAGCCTGGCAGGACTGTGACATAAATAAGGTCAAAAAATAACTAGCCCTGGACTTTTAGGGCTTTTTAAGACCTTTGAAGTTCTCCGAAAATGCAAGTAGAAGATGCACCATGAGGGAAGATGATGTCCTGGTGATGGAGGAGCACATCTGCCCAGTGTCAGGGGCATCACGGGGACAGTCTTCACTCCACCACCTCCTGCCAGGCCTTATTGATGAGACAGTCACCCCAAGGTGACAGTGCAGCTTTTACAGGGTCACCCTGGCAACCCAGACAGGTCTGTCCCCTCTCCCAGTTCCCCCAGTCCTTGTTGTGGGCATTTAGGGTCAGCCTTGGGGGTGGAGGTGAAGCACGGTGACCTCAGCTTGCTCCTCCTGACAGTCCCCTGCGTGCCACAAGGGTGGATGTCCCAGAGGTGATGCCACTCCATGAGGGCACCCTCTGTCCCCTCTGAGCCCTCGTTGGGGGGACCTGCCACCCCACAGCTGCCTGTGTTGCCAAGGGAAAAGCTCCTCTGCAGGTGCTTGTGGGCACAAGTGCCCAGGATTGGGCTGATGCTTGCCATCCCAAGGGATAAATCCTCTCCTCCTCCTCTTCCTACTGCTCCTCCTCCTTCTCTCAGGCATCCTGGAGAAGGCTGGGCTTCATTGTCCCTTTGCACCAGGGCCATGCACATCGTTGTGCCTGTGCCTGTCCCTGTCCCAGGCAAGGTGATGCCTCCTGCAACGGCAGTGAAATACACAGAGGAGCCCTCAGCTGAATCCGGGGAGAAGCTGCTGGGACGGGATATGGATGGGGGAAAAACAGGGTCCTGCCCTGCTCCATCCTCCTGTGCCATTCCTGCAGCGCCGGTGCTGAGTTTGATGCTTCCTCCATTCCCCACTGTCAGACCAGATTCAGCTTCCTGAGGAACAATGTCCCTCATGGGGAGAGAAAAGTTTGCCCCAGGCTCAACTCCAGTGAGTTTCCCCATCATCCATCCTCCAGGATAAACCTCTCCCACGCCACCATCTCCGAAGGCTGCGTTGATCACAGACAGATCTCCTGTCTTCAAGGCCAGCTTTACCAGCAGCCAGTGGTGATGGTTTGTCCAGCTGTCCTCCAAACACCCTTTGGATTGCAGGAGAGATGAGCTGTTCCCAGTTTTTGGATCTGCTGTGGTCCCTTCCCCTGACAAGGACTCTTCATCTCCTGAAATTCCTGAGCTCTGCCCAGCTTGGGAGCTCTCCCCAGAGACCTCATCATCACCCGCTGCTGCAGCACTGCAGGATACCTCCAGGAATCCCTGCCAGATCTCTGTGGACTTGGGATGGAGCAGGCTGTAATAAACCACCAGAGCTGTGGCACCTGGAAAAGAGCAGAAAGGTGTCAAGGGATGAGTCTCAGCAGCATTTGGGTGAGATGTGGAGAAGAGGCCAGACCTCACTGCCACCTCTAGATCACCAAGCCCTTTGCAGAAAAGGTGCTGGACATCAGGTGCTTTCTACTGGTACAGACATCAGGTTCCTTCCTAGTCCTATCTTAAACTCATCCAAGGGCAGAGGGATTGCTCCTTTTCCAGCCCAAACATGCCCTTTCTTGATCACAACTGATCTGCGTGTAACCAGTCTGGGGAGATGCACAAAGCCCAGCACACATGGGCATTACAGCTTCCCTTTGCTCCCAACCCACAGGGAAAACATGAGCCTGGTCAGCATGGAGATGCTCCAAGGGCTGGAGTCCCTCTGCTCTGGAGACAGGCTGGGAGAGCTGGGGGATGTTCACCTGGAGAAGAGAAGGCTCCAGGGAGACCTTTAGAACCCCTTCCAGTGCCTAAAGGGGCTCCAAGAGAGCTGGAGAGGGGCTTGGGACAAGGGCCTGGAGTGATGCGAAGGGGAATGGCTTAAACTGAAAGCTCAAAGAAACAAAGCAAATAGTCTGATGCAACTAAAATAAATGACAATGCTCATTTACTCAAACTTCTCTCAAAATGTGCAATCCGGGCTCTAAAACCCCCAGATCTTACCTATAACAGACCCTGACATGACAGCCCCAGTCACACCCAGGCTGCTCCTCAGCTCTGCCTGCAGGAACCGGGTGGCCAACAGCAGCAGGAGCGTGTTCTCCATCAGCATTATCTGCAGAGCAGAGGGAAGAGAGTCGTCACCTTTATCCTTCTGATGGTTTTAGATGTGCTTCTGATGACAGAAAACACCCAATTTCTAATTTTCATAAATTCACAAAATCACAGACTGGTTTGAGTTGGAAAGGATCTTAAAATTCATCTTGTTCCAACCCCTTGCCATGGCAGGGACTCCTTCCACTAGACCAAGTTGCTCAGAGCCCCGTTTAACCTGGCTTTGAACACTTTCCCTGTTTTATTTCATACCTAACGTACCACTTAAAACATAAAAGTTGTTGACCTTAACTTTCTGCAAGGTGTCCACCCTTTTTTACCAGGAAAAATAACTCTGACATTGTATGGCTGCCCCTAAAAAAATGAAGCCAGAAGAGAAGGTGCATCCACCTTAGTGACCATGTGGCTTTTTATCCACACTGGACTTTCATCAAGTGGTGATGTGAGAAATGAGAATGGAAAGTTTGAAGCTTCTCTCCAGCAGCTGCATCCATGTGGAGTAAGGAATATCCTGGGTACTTACTGCATAAAATACAGACACCCTGGTCTTGGAGGGACCAGGTCGGACATTGATGTAGCAGAAGATGTACACAGCCCCCACCAGGCCATTAAACAGCCTCCAGTGGCATGGCTGGACCACAATATTTGTCTGCTGGGCCACCAGCCAGAAGGACATGAGCAACCAGTGGACACCTGCAAGGAGAAGGGACTGTATGGGCAAAGCCGTTCCTGGGGGAGGCTGCAAACAGCTCCAGCACCAGGAGCATCGCAGGGCTGGCCTCAGGGTGGGATGTGGGGAAGAGGGATCTCAGGTCTTACCTGCCACAGCGAAAACCCAAAAGGAGTAGAGCCTGGCAAAGAGCACCAGGGCCAGGACCCTGGTCCCCAGCATCCCTGTCCTCCAGAGCAGCAGGCAGAGCATGGCCACGGCCGGCAGGCTGAGGTGGCCAGGCTTCAGCAGGCAGGTGAAGTGGCTGTAGGAGGCCAAAGCCCAGGAGAGGGAGAGCAGGGACAGCCCTGCGCTGACACCTGCACAGGGACAGGGCAGTCAGGGCTCTGAAGGATGCCCAGCTACGCTGTGGGGCCATATCTCAGTGTCAAGGAGCTGCTGGTAGCATGGCACCCCAAAACAAGCTAGACACCTCATACTCCTGCCAACAGAATCATGGAATCACAGAATGGTTTGGGTTGGAAGGGACCTTAAAGGCCATCTAGTCTGACCCCCCTGCAATGAGCAGGGTCAGCTTCCACTAGATCAGGTTGCTCAGAGCCCTGTCCAACCTGGCCTTGAATGTTTCCAGGGATGGAACTGGAATATTTCAATTAGTTTATGCTAAATCTGGTCTTCTTTGTGTGCTTAGTATCTGCCTGTGGAAATCCTCTGACCACTCTCTCCCATGGGTAGATCTCTGCAGCCCCAGGGCAGCTCCATCCTGGTCATTGGCATCAGACCAGAGATGGACACAGAGTGTGACCTTGCACGCCTCAAATTCTCCCTTTGCACATCTGAAAGTTCACCTTTCCTGCAAAGCAGCCCCAAACCCCTAAATGCTCAGCACTGCAGTGTGATTAGGGCTGGACCACCAACAGGAACATGCTGGGTTCACACCCAGCCAAGACACTGCACATGGATACTGCTCGTACAGACTGTACTGGCCAGGAGAAGCCATGGGTGGCTCAGAACTCCTCTGCGTTCAGCCACAGCAGATCTTGCAGCCACATTTGTCCCTGGTGCTTTGCACTGAGGCTTCCCAGTCCCTTTGCAGCTTTCTCCTTCACCCAGAGCCCACCCTGTGCCCTGCCAGGTGGGCACATGCATCCCTCACCCAAATGCATCATTCCTATACAATTCAAAGCATCCTCCTGGGAACTCCCACCTTACCAGGGATGAAGCCCACTGGGTCAACAGCCACGTAGGCCTGGAGCAGGAGGTGAGGCAGGGTCTGCAACAGGGCTTCCAGGAGCTGCAGCACACACACGTCCCCGAGCTGTGTCAGCACCTCCCCAGCACGGGCACTGCCGCCTGCCATCCGCAAAACATCCCAGTACCTGCAGGAGTCACCGTGCTGGGATGTCCACCCTAGTTTTGGCAAGTTTGGGACTGCACCTGGGTTTGGGGGGGTTGGATGGGTCACAGGGAGCATCTCTCACCGCTTCCAAAGGCCCAGCTGGAGGAGGTGGAGCACCAGGAGCCAGCAGCTGGGTGGGTGTCCGTCCGCCCGGAACCAGAGGATGCTGAGGAGCTGAGCGGCATAGCCGGGCACCATACAGGCCATGGTCAGCCCAAACCAGCCCAGCTGCCCATGGACAAGGTAATGGGTGATGGCACAGAGCCCTGGAGAAGGGCAGAGAAGCAGTGCTGAGGGATGCCACAGCCACACAACCCAGCAACTGAGAGGTGCCACCTACAGTCTTAGAATTCTTAAAAAGTTTAAGTTATTAGGGACCTCAAATACTATCCAGTTCTAATCCCTGCCAAGGGGTGGGACACCTTCCACTATCCCAAGTTGCTCCAAGCCCTATCCAACCTGGCCTTGAACACTTCCAGGGATGGGGCAGCCAAAGCTTCTCTGGGCAACCCGGGCCAAGGTCTCACCACCCTCACAAGGAAGAATTTCTTCCTAATATCCAATCTAAATCTACTCTCTTTCAGTTTAAAGCCATTCCCGCCACAATTCCGTCTCCCAGCCACCGAGGGGGTTCACAGCCCTTGTCCCAGTCTTATCTCCAGCTGCCGGCTCCCAGTAGCTTGTCAGCCGTGGCACAGCCACCGCCACAGAGGGGCCCAGCCCCAAGAAGGGCTCTGATAAAAACCTCAGTCTCCAAAATACACAAATAAATAAATAAAATTTTAAAAAGTGAAGAAACCCCCCAATTTTCTTATTAAACCCCCCAGAGACCGGCTGGGTCCTCAGGGATGCTGAACGCCCCACCCTGCGGGCGGAACCGCTCATCTCCCCCCTACGCGGGAGCGCAGGGATGATTCCCCACTCCCCGATCTCCAGGGGTGACCCGGGACCCCGGAGATGGCCGTAGAGGGGCCGCTGCCACCCTCCATCCCGCCTTTCCCCCCTCTTCGGGGTGGCGCAGCCTCCCCACAGCCCCGCGCATCCTGCGCGCATCCTGCGCGCTCACTCACTCGCCCCGCGCTCCGCCGCCAGCAGCGCCAGGCTGAGCCGCGGGATGGCCCCGCGCATCCTGCGGAGGAGGAGGAGGAGAGGGAGGAAGGGGAGGAGGAGGAGGAGAAGAAGGAGGAGGAAGAGAAGGAGGAGGAGAAGGAGGAGGAAAAGGAGGAGGAGAAGGCGGAGGAGGAAGAAGAAGGAGACGCCCAGACCGGTGCCTCCCCGCCCGCCCTTACCCGGCCCCCCCCCCCGGGCACCTCCCCCAGTGCCCTTTCCCGCCGGGCGGTGTGACGTCACGGTGCTTGCGTCACACCTCGGGGGCTGCAGCAGCCCGAGACCTCTGGGGCAACTGCACACTGGCACAAGCCCATCCCGCTATCCCCCAAGTTGTCGTGCACTGGCACAAGCCCACCCTGATGTCCCCCAGGCTCTCGGGCACGGGCACAACCCCATCCCGGTGTCTCCCATGTTTTTGTGCGCTAGCACAAGCCCACCCCGCTGTCTCCCATGTTTTTGTGCGCTAGCACAAGCCCACCCCGGTGTCTCCCATGTTTTTGTGCGCTAGCACAAGCCCACCCCGCTGTCTCCCATGTTTTTGTGCGCTAGCACAAGCCCACCCCGGTGTCTCCCAGGTTTTTGTGCACTGGCACAAGCCCACCCCGCTGTCTCCCAAGTTTTTGTGCACTGGCACAAGCCCACCCCGCTGTCTCCCAGGTTTTTGTGCACTGGCAGAAGCCCACCCTGATTTCCCCTTGGTTCTTGTGAACTGGCACAAGCCCACCCCGATGTCCCCCTGTGCGATGCCCGCCATGTCCCTGTGCCGCAGGGATGAGCACTAGGTGGCAGCCGGGACATGGTGTGCACGGACCCGTAAATTAATCAGGTTGTTTTCCCGCCTCCTACCCCGAAGACAAAACCTTTGTGAAACGCTATCCCAACCGTCGGTGGCTCCAGGGGCCCTTGTGTGTACAGAGATGTGCCTCATCTGCTTTTTATCACAATTCCCGGCCCTGCAGCCTCCATCCCTGATACTTTTTAGGAAATAAATCCCCAGCAGGTCCCTAAGGAAAAGCCATGAAAAGAGGTTTAATTAGGTCCAAATATCATCTAAGGTTTTGTAATTGCTTTTGCAAAATCCTGCAGGAGGCTCCCAAAGCTTTGTACATTGGCTGGGCTGTTGGATCTATGTGTGTTCAGGGGCTTTCATACTTTTTTTTTTTTTTTTTTTTTTTAATTTTTAACTATTGTTTTTGCAACTCTGAGAACAAAGCCCAGAGTCTGATGCTTAACAGGAGCCACCAAACTGCTCAGAGATGTCCTTGCCTGGTTATCCCTTCTTGTGGGAGCATCCCCAGGATCTCTGTCCGTGTCCAGCACTGCTTTTTACCATAACTTGGCATGTTTGCATCTTCAGCTCCGGTGGTTGGGTTGGGGGCTAGTGGGTTAATGTCATCGCATCCACATTCATGTTTCATTAATTAACAATGTTGAGCCGTTGGGCCCAGCTCCAGCAAAGCATTTTAATAAAGCCAAGGGTGTAATTAGGCTCTGGAGCCAAGTGAAGCTCAGCCTTGGTTGTCACTGAGCCTTGTCCTCCACAGTAGCAAATACACAGCTGCCAAATGGCCCATTCCTAGAAAACCCATTTTTTTTGCATGCAAAGCACAGCTCAGCCTCTAATGGGCACCAGAGCCTTTCCCAGAGCTGAGGGTGGGATGTTGCAGAACCATCTTGCTTGTAAATCCAGCAGTGAAGAAGCTGCAAGGGTCCATGCAGGCACAATGTGGTGTGATCCTTCTTGTCACCCACGGAAGATATGTGAGAACCTCATCATCTCATCCCCCTGCCCTCCATCATCATCATCATTCCTGGGAAGAACCCACCCCAAGGTGTCTCAGCTGTCTTTTCTCAGCCTCTTCTGCTCAAAGGCTGTATTCTAAGCCGGGAATAAATTTCCACACCACACGGGTCATGCTGTTATCGCCCCGTAACAATGCCAAGCAGAAAAGGCAAAAGCCAGAAGGCCTTCCAGAAGATATTCCCAGAGCTATCCACCCTCCCCAGTTTCATTGCCAACTCCCAGTTGCTCTGGCTGCCTTCCAGCCACTGGTTTGGCTGTGCTTTTCTCTGCTGGACTTTGGTGTTCAGGAACCTCTTCTGATAAAAAAAAAACCTCTCAGGCCTCCAACAAAGGTACATCCTGAAGAAGAGTAGCTCTGGTGAGACATTACAGCCCCTTCCAGTACCTAAAGGGCCTCCAGAAGAACTGGAGAGGGACTTTGGACAAGGGCCTGGAGTGACAGGACAAGGGGGAATGGTCTTAAGCTACCGGAGGGAAGGTTTAGATTAGATAATAGGGAAAACTCTTCCCGGTGAGGGTGGTGAGGCCCTGGCACAGATTGCCCAGAGAAGCTGTGGCTGCCCCATCCCTGGAAGTGTTCAAGGCCAGTTTGGATGGAGCTTGGAGCAACCTGGGATAGTGCAAGGTGTCTCATCAGCCATCTCTGCTGATTTTGATGTAGCAGCTTCTCCAGGCACAGTGACGTTATTGCACAGCACCAAGCCAAAGGAAAAAAATCATTAATAATAATAATAATAATAAAGCTCTCAAAGCCCAAGCTGTTGAAACTTTAATTACTCCTTCCATCTATTGATTTGAAAGTCCTTTGTACCTGCGAACTGAGGCTTCTCTGGGCAACCTGTGCCAGGGCCTCACCACCCTCATAGCCAAGAATTTCCCCTATTATCTAATCTAAACCTTCCCTCTTGCAGTTTAAGACCATTCCCCCTTGTCCTGTCACTCCATCCCTTGTCCCAAGTCCCTCTCCAGCTCTCCTGGCTCCCCTTTAGGCACTGGAAGGGTCTCTAAGGTCTCCCCAGAGCCTTCTCTTCTCCAGGTGAACACTCCTAGCTCTTCCAGCTTGGATCCAGAGCAGAGGTGCTCCAGCCCTTGGAGCATCTCCATGGCCTCCTCTGGACCTGCTCCAGCAGCTCCATGTCCTTCTGACATTGAGAGCCCCAAACCTGGGCTCAGTGCTCCAGGTAAGCTGCCTACAGGTGACATCACACAGACCCAGCTGCCCCTCACATGCTGTACCACGCTTCTGCCCAGGTGTTCTGCCACACTCCCTGTCTGCAAATACTTCACAACACTTTAGAGATGGTTTTCACTGAATAATCCCACCCTGGTGGACGCAGGGGTCAGGTCACATCTTCTGCAGGTCATTCCCTTGCTTGAGGTGACTGAGCAAAGAAGTTCTGAGGGGTGATTGTGGGTGATATCAGGAGATGTAGAGATCAGGTTTTTATGGCTGCAAGATGGTGATTCTTAGAACAACTAGTCCAGGCACCCACAAGAACATTTGCCTTCCTGGATTAGGTGCAAAGGACCTAATTCCAAAGCTGTTTGTGAGAGCTGCTCTGTAAAAGTGACAGTATAATTAGGTTTAATAACCTTGTGGGACTAAATGCATTCAACATGTGAGTATTGAAACTCAAAAAAACCCAAAAAACAAAAAACAACGAAAATGAGGAAAGAAAAGCACCAAAAGGAACAGTCCAGAGAAACAAGAAGCCTGCAGGCAGCCTGAAAGCTGTTAAGAAAGGCTGTGCTAGAAACGTCCGTGAAGTATTTGATTTGACTGGGAAAGAAAACAAAGAGATCTAAGAAAAATCCCTGCAGGGCACGAAGGGAGAGTCAAGGGAGGCTCTGGCAGGGGTGAGCTCAGCGGGGCTCATACAGCTGGCAGAGGAGAGCGGCAACTCCCATGAAACGGGTCAGATTCCAGAAGGAAAAAGGTATAAAAGGAAAGTGAAGATCCCATTGCAACAGACACCTGAATTTATAGAAATGTCTGCAAACCATTGGGGGAGTCCTTGAGAAAGGAGAAGGACACTTAGGGGTGCTGTGCTCAGTGCACTGTTCTGCCCATGGCAAGAGAGTGAAGGCTATAATAAAACTGAAATTGCTGAGCATGGGCTGTAATAATTTCCATAAATAGATGTGGCTTAAAATATCTTACATACAGTGCAGGCAATTAGTACTAAAAATGGTTTGGTGCAAAAGTTTTAAAAAAAAAAATCACTTTTTCATTTCTTTTCTTTTTTTTTACTCCTAACTATTAGATTACTCTTTTACTCTCACTTTTTTCCCTACCAATCTCTAGTGCAGATCTTTTCCATGTTCTTAATCAAAACAGAACTGCCCAAATTTTCTCTTCCAACAGTAGAAATGATGTAGTATTAATAACACCTCATTAACACTCTTCCTGAATTTCCAAAGAAGAATGAACTTCCCATTTAACATAGGTTTAGGTGGGGTTTTTTAACCTAATTCCAGCTGATAATTATTTTTCTTTTAGGGTGATAGAATGTTCATGTTTTTAAGGAATTAATATGAAACCTCTGAAAACAGATGGAGACAGCACTTCTCTATGAGATAATTGCAGGCATTTAAGGAGAAATTCCTGCTGGGATTTATGTGGTAAATTAAATAACTGGCTAGTTCATTAGTAACACTCAGATGCACATGACTAGCCTCATCAAAACCTGAAGCACATCACTGCAGAAGGCAAAATTAATACCTAGAGCTAGAAATCATTGCATATCCCTCAAATACTGGTTGACATTGTGTATATATATATATATTAGCTTCAGGTATATAGTTTTCTTCCATGTCACAGGAACCAAAATTGTGGATGAGAGGTATCCTTTGAAAGATTCCTGCTCTGTGGACATCAGCTGAGTAAATCCCACCATGTACCATTTCCCTGAGGGTTCCCATCACACAGCACCAACTTCCAATGGAGATGTGCAGAATGATCACCCAGCAGCAGGACAGCCTGCATGGCTGGTTTTATTTTATTCATTATGTTTTTATATATATATATATATATATAGTATACCATGTTTATAATATATATGTATAATATATGCATATATCTTAATAATATATTATGTATCTGTTTATGATATATTTATATATTACAACTACTATATAAATATATTATATTATATATTATATAAATATATATTGTATATTTATTATTTATTTATTTATTTTATCATGATGGAGA